AGGAACCGGGGGGGGCCCCAGCGGAGACCGCCAACCCCGAGCCGGAGGACCCGCAGGCAGCCACCGAGCCACAGCCAGGGGCCGAACGGGCGAGCCAGGGGGCAGGGTGGGCGGGACCCGGGCCCGACGCCTGTGTCTCCGTCCCTTATGGGATACTGAAAGGCGGGGTCCTGGGGGGTGTCGGCCTCGAAGGGGCAAGGGCCAGGAAGTCGTCAGGGAGGCCCCCGAGGGTGGAGGCTCGGGCAAAGCAGGGGGCGTGGCGGCAGGCGATGCAGCCAGAGCCGCGGGCGTTGCAGGCGGAGCCGCGGGCTGGACGGGCAGGACAGAAGAGCCGGGCTGGACGGGCAGAGAGGCGGCCTCAGGCAGGGCCGCGGGCAGAGAGGCGGCCTCAGGCAGGGCCGCGGGCAGAGAGGCGGCCTCAGGCAGGGCCGCGGGTGTGTGGCCAGCAGGGGGCGCCTCAGCGGGCGCCGCCGTCACATGGCCAGCAGGGGGCACCTCGGCGGGCGCCGCCATCACGCGGCCAGCAGGGGGCACCTCGGCGGGCGCCGCCATCACGCGGCCAGCAGGGGGCGCCGCAGCAGGCACCTCAGGCAGAGTGGCAGCAGCAGCAGGCGGTGCCGCGGGCAGAGCGGCGGCAGTGGTATCAGCGGCGTCCTCCCAGGCGGGGAGAAGTGAGCACGCTCCCAGGAAGAGCGTCGGGGCGGCTTTCTTTCTTCTCCTGCGCCTCTTCTTATTAGGACGAGAGGGGCCCTCGGGGACCCCAGGCAGGTCCTTACCTGGGGTGCTTTGCCCAGGCAGTTCCCCAGAGCTGGGGAGCTGAGCGGCCGGAGCCGCGTTAAGCTCAGTCTTGCGCTTCGGAGGAGTAGGCTTTCTCGAGACCGGGATGGTGGCAGCTGGCGAGTCGGGGGGCGGTTCCCAGGCGGCATACCCCAGGTGGGACAGCCAAACTGCCGCTCTCTCCCTCAGCAGTCGTAGGTTTTTACCAACCTTCACTAGCTGCTGCTCCTCACCAGTATGGAACCTCCTGTCCAGGAGTTCCCAACACCTGTCAATCAGCCGGTGGGCTACTGGATCCTTCAGGCGATCGAGCAGGTTCGTCCACCGAATAACCTCTTCCTCCATGGGGAGAACCTCCCCAGTAGCGCTGAGCTTGTTGAGGAGACTCCTGTCACGTCACGGCTTGCAGGCGAACGGGAAAGCAGGGAAAAGGAGCCAGGAAGTCGAATAAACGGGGTTTTAATCGGAGGACAGGACCGGGGAAGCACATGTACGAACGTCAATGACAAGTCTGGGGAAGACTGACTCAGACGAGGACTAAATACACAAGACAAGCTAAGGGTAACGAGCAACAGGTGAGAACAATCAGGCAGAAACAGGAGGTATCGAGGTGGGCGTGGCACACATTAGGATCGGACGGAGCTGGGCGTGACACTGACCAGGCAGGACGTTAGTTATTGAAATGAGCAGTAGAGCTGACAGTGTTNCACATGTACGAACGTCAATGACAAGTCTGGGGAAGACTGACTCAGACGAGGACTAAATACACAAGACAAGCTAAGGGTAACGAGCAACAGGTGAGAACAATCAGGCAGAAACAGGAGGTATCGAGGTGGGCGTGGCACACATTAGGATCGGACGGAGCTGGGCGTGACACTGACCAGGCAGGACGTTAGTTATTGAAATGAGCAGTAGAGCTGACAGTGTTATGTCTGATTATGAATATGATGACATACCATTATACTTAAAATTTCCCCAGCCAGTGACCCAGGTCTCAGTGCCATTGTAGAAGGTGCTGCTGCTGGCTGCCAGGCAAATGGGCCGAATGAAGTCGGAAAAAGTCACAGTGGTGCTGAGTTCCAGCAGAGCGAGGTCATTGTCATGTGTACTACTGTTGTATAGTGGATGAGGAAAGATGCTACTGAGGGTTCTGACTTGTTCATTTGGGTTTGTACCAGACAGTTCCTGACGCCCCAGATAAACATTCCAGTTGGCTGTATTTGTGCTATGGGAGGCAGAGCATCAAAAAGTCAAAAATCAAGTTAAATCACACATTTTGCAAGTTGAATATTTCTCTGATTTTTTGTACGAGATTTAACATTGATACTCTTATATAAAATCACCTATATGCCTCACCTGGAGAAGCAGTGGGCAGCAGAGAGCACCCACTTACTGTTAATGAGGGATCCTCCACACATGATCTGATATGTCGGAAAAGTCTGCAGCAGATTAGCCTGCCAGGGCCAACTGCCCGGGGGTGCGTTCTCTCCCCCCACTATCCTGGTGTTAAGAGGAGCCTGACCACACACTGGGAGGGGGGAGAGGTGAGCAGGTGAAGAGTTGAACATGGACTGACTGAAAGTCTGTACAGTATTCTAACAGACATTACTGTGCCAGTTTTGGATATTGGCCCATTTATTTGTTAAGCACTAGTTCACAAGACAAAGTATTATTGTAATTTTATGTTTTAAGGGATGGAACAATATGATATTAACAAACTTACCATTCAGCTGTGCATGTGACTCTAAAAGAAATGGGAGAGAACAGCTTTGGTTAATTACTATAATATGACTGAAAATGTTTTCATAATGATTATGCCTATTTGTGTCGTACATGTCTAATCTCAATATGGCAACTGTTTAAATAGTTGTAACTAGAGCTGTGCGATATGACAAAATAATTTTGTCACAATATTTTTTCTTCATATCAGTTGATATAGATAATTATCACAAAATATTTAAAGTCATTATTTACTTCTAAGCTCAATTTTTCCTTAATTATTCCCTTAGACCAGGGGTCACCAACTCCAGTCCTGGAGGGCTACTATCCAGTAAGGTTTCTATCCTAGCTGGCTTCTGATGAGCCACACCTGCTCCTGGTGTTTACATGAGAACTAGTGT